TACGTATTTCTTGGCGACAAGGTAGAAACCAGAGAGAGAAGGAAAAGCTGAAGACGCCAAAGAGAAAGCAAGGCTGACAGAGCAGAGCTGCGGGGATGAGAGTCGGGAGACCACGAGAAGGGGGGACGCTCTGTGAGGCAGAGGAGCAGCAGGAGAACGCAGGACGTGGCAGGTGTGTCCCGAAGTGCAGGCACAGACAGCGGGCAGCCTCTCTCGACTGCAGTGGAGGGAAGGCCGACCTCCAAGACTAAGAAAACAGAAATTCACCTTCAGAAGCCGAGGAGTATGGGAATGTTTGGGATAGCCATTGTGTGGGCATCAAAAGAAAATAAAAGTAATGTCTAAATGCAGACTGAGTCCAACTGAACAGTTTTGCAAACACCCACTGAGTACCTCCTGCGGACCGAACATGCCACCTGGTGCCAGAGTTAAAAGGTGTGGTCCAACCACGGCTTTCCTGCCAGGAACTAAGAGTCCAGAAGGAAACACAACTGAGGTGGTACATGTCAGAACATAAGTATTCATGGAATGCTATGGGACCACAGAGTTGAGAATATATGTATTAATTATATAATCTATATATTTGTATCAGCCAAAACAGGTATACACAGGTGGAGGTGAGAAAGAGGAAAGCCGGACAGAAGTTCCTAGCAGAGATGATTCCTGAGCTGGGTTCTAATAATGCGCAGGAGAAGGACGCGCATGGTGCCGCGTGTGGTGGGGAAAAGCCACAGGCGCTCTCTCTGGATGGGAGAAAACGAACAAGGGTTCAGAGAGAAGGTATCTCAGGACATGAGGATTCCCAGAATGTGGAGCAGAAAATGTCAACGGCCGCACCCAGAAGATGTGCAGGCATCAGATCGTTCTGAACATTTCCCTGCGGATAATCTGCAAACACCGCAAGGCTGCAGGCGGGCCAAGGGGCAGAACGAAGGCGTGACACCTTCAGAAGGGAGCTTTACAGAGTTCCCTTTGGCAGGTGGTGGGAGTGATGGCGATTCAGCAAGAGGTAATGACGATGTAAGCAGAGGATAAAATTGAACAATCTTGAGCAGACAGTGTGGGCAGAAACAGCTGATGGATTAATGTGGGCCGTGAAAGAGAAGGAGGCTATAAAAATGACTCCCAGGTTCCTAGATGAATGGAGTTACAATTAAGACAGAGAATGCAGAAGGAATAGGGCACCGGTAAAAATGACAAATGCAATTTTGGATCTACTTTGGAAGTACTTGTAGAAAATCCAGCTGCAGAGGTTGACTAAGAGCTCAAATACATGGGTCTGAAACAGTGGAAGGTTATCCATCCATGTCGACTTGCAGCGGACTCGTCTGGGTGACTCTTTCTTGCAGAGCCTTGGAGAAGGAGAGGGGAGAAGGGCAGGTGTGGGGTCAGAACACCTACGCTGGCAGAGGGCTCTCCCAGAGCAGGGTTATCATCATGGCTCCAGGCCAGGGAGGTAGTTAATGCCAGAAGGCGGCTAACAAATGGGTGTGAAAAGAAACTGGATTAGGGTGAAGTGATGAGGTGGGGGGGGGGCAGAGCTGACAGAGGAAGGT